TGACTCCCTGCGGGTGTCTCTCCCCTGTGGCTCTCTGTATTCCCAACATTTTCCTCCTCTCCTGTTTAAAACATCTACCCTTTATTCACCTACCAATACAGGGGGTGTTATTTCTACACAATGTAACATAAATGTGGCGGCAGTGTGGTGGCAACGTGGACAAAGTGGCAATGTGAAAGCTTATTGCAAGCTATCTGACAAAATATAGGGATTAGATGGGGATATTGTCAAATGACACAACATGACATCATATGAGGCAATGAAATAGTGACGCACATTCTGCTTCTCTGTACAATATAATAAGGTTAAAGACTGGTTGGTATGTAATGAAACAATGTGGCAATCAGGTTCTTGATAATTGGGTGGTGGGTTATATGTGGGAGGGTTGTGGTATGTACGCGTGTCACGTGAAGAGGACATTAGCATAATACAGGGGACTAGGTGTATATCGGTGTGTGTGTGTATATAATATTTATAGACTGTTCTATTTACACTGATCAGTCACTACATTAAACCACCTGCACAATATCAGCTAGGTTCCCCTAGTAGGTTCCCCTAGTGCTGCCAAAACAGCTCTGATGCATCGGGGCATGGACTGCACAAGACCTCTGAACATATCCTGTGGTATCAGGCACCAAGACATTAGCAGCAGATAATTTAAGTCCTGCAAGTTGCTAGATGGGGCCTCCATGGATCAGTTTTGTTGTTCCAGCACATCTCACAGATGCTAAATTGGTTTGAGATCTGGATAATTTGGAGGTCAAGGCAAAACCTTTAACTCTATGTCATATTCCTCAAACCGTTCCTGAACAATTTTTGCAGTGTGGCAAGGTTCATTATCCTGCTGAAAGATGATACTGCCATCAGGAAACACTGTTGTTATGAAGGGGTGTACGTGGTCTGCAACAATCTCTAGGTAGGTGCCTAGAGCAAAACCATGCCTTCTTCCCAAAGTGCATCCTGCTGCCATCTCTTCCCCAGGTAACAATGCACCCAGCCATCCACCTGATCTAAAAGAAAACATGATCCATCAGACCAGGCAACCTTCTCTCAGTGCTCATGTCCCCATTGAAGGCATTTTCGGTGGTGGACATAGGCCATCATCGGCACTCTGATCAGTATGCAGCTACATTGTAATTCTGTGTGATTGGACCAGAAGCACTAGCCTTCACTCCCCAAATGTATTAATGAGCCTGGGGCACCCAGGAGCCTGGTGGTGTTTCACCAGTTGTCCTTCCTTGCACCACTTTTGGTAGGTACCAAACACTGTACTCCCTGCGGCTCTGTCTGCCTCGGGGCTCCCTGCGGCTCTGTCTGCCTCGGGGCTCCCTGCGGGCGTCTCTGCTTCGTGGCTGCCTGCGGGCGCCTCTGCTTCGTGGCTGCCTGCGGGCGCCTCTGCTTCGTGGCTGCCTGCGGGCGCCTCTGCTTCGTGGCTCCCTGCGGGCGCCTCTGCTTCGTGGCTCCCTGCGGGCGCCTCTGCCTCGTGGCTCCCTGCGGGCGCCTCTGCCTCGTGGCTCCCTGCGGGCGTCTCTGCTCCGTGGCTCTTTGCAGGTATCTCTGCCCCATGGTTTCCTGCACGTGACTCCCTGCGGGTGTCTCTCCCCTGTGGCTCTCTGTATTCCCAACATTTTCCTCCTCTCCTGTTTAAAACATCTACCCTTTATTCACCTACCAATACAGGGGGTGTTATTTCTACACAATGTAACATAAATGTGGCGGCAGTGTGGTGGCAACGTGGACAAAGTGGCAATGTGAAAGCTTATTGCAAGCTATCTGACAAAATATAGGGATTAGATGGGGATATTGTCAAATGACACAACATGACATCATATGAGGCAATGAAATAGTGACGCACATTCTGCTTCTCTGTACAATATAATAAGGTTAAAGACTGGTTGGTATGTAATGAAACAATGTGGCAATCAGGTTCTTGATAATTGGGTGGTGGGTTATATGTGGGAGGGTTGTGGTATGTACGCGTGTCACGTGAAGAGGACATTAGCATAATACAGGGGACTAGGTGTATATCGGTGTGTGTGTGTATATAATATTTATAGACTGTTCTATTTACACTGATCAGTCACTACATTAAACCACCTGCACAATATCAGCTAGGTTCCCCTAGTAGGTTCCCCTAGTGCTGCCAAAACAGCTCTGATGCATCGGGGCATGGACTGCACAAGACCTCTGAACATATCCTGTGGTATCAGGCACCAAGACATTAGCAGCAGATAATTTAAGTCCTGCAAGTTGCTAGATGGGGCCTCCATGGATCAGTTTTGTTGTTCCAGCACATCTCACAGATGCTAAATTGGTTTGAGATCTGGATAATTTGGAGGTCAAGGCAAAACCTTTAACTCTATGTCATATTCCTCAAACCGTTCCTGAACAATTTTTGCAGTGTGGCAAGGTTCATTATCCTGCTGAAAGATGATACTGCCATCAGGAAACACTGTTGTTATGAAGGGGTGTACGTGGTCTGCAACAATCTCTAGGTAGGTGCCTAGAGCAAAACCATGCCTTCTTCCCAAAGTGCATCCTGCTGCCATCTCTTCCCCAGGTAACAATGCACCCAGCCATCCACCTGATCTAAAAGAAAACATGATCCATCAGACCAGGCAACCTTCTCTCAGTGCTCATGTCCCCATTGAAGGCATTTTCGGTGGTGGACATAGGCCATCATCGGCACTCTGATCAGTATGCAGCTACATTGTAATTCTGTGTGATTGGACCAGAAGCACTAGCCTTCACTCCCCAAATGTATTAATGAGCCTGGGGCACCCAGGAGCCTGGTGGTGTTTCACCAGTTGTCCTTCCTTGCACCACTTTTGGTAGGTACCAAACACTGTATACCGGAAGCACCCTACAAGACTAGCTGTTTTGGAGATGTTCTGATCCAGTCTCTGGCCATATCTATGTGTCCCTTGTCAAAGTCACCCAGATCTTATCACTTGCCCATTTTCCTGCTTCCAACACATGAAATTCAACAACTGACTGTTCACTTGCTGCCTAATATATCCCACCCCGTGACAGGAGCCATTGTAACGCTATAATCAATGTTACTCACTATATCTGTCACTGGGTTTAATGTTGTGGTGATTAGCGTACAATGTTCATGTTTTGTACTTTTTCTGCTCCTGCTTGGATATTTTCCTGTCCATAAACTAGAATCAACATAGATATTTATATTTGGTTATTAAGAACTGTGTGAATTATGGACCCAGATGTAGAAAAACCCATTCCTTACATAAATCACAGATTATTTTTATTTTATTTTTTTTTCTCACAAATCACGTGTTGGTGAAGGGTTTCGGACAGGGTTAATGCTTACAGATGCACTTTGTCTAGATTGAGACTGATCCCAATTGTCTGATCTGAACAACCTGACATGACTGGATCTCTGAGCGGTATTGAAAGGAGGGCTGTGGGAAAAAATGGGAAAACCAGACACATCCCTGAAAGTACATTACACAAACACAGGACTTGTAGATAAAAACATTATAATATCCAGACACTCTGAACATACATCATTATCTATGATCACTCACTAGCTCTGTGTGTTTGTTTGTGTGTGTCTGTCGCCTGTTAGTGATGTCAATCGTTCCCCTATAAAGATTAAAGAGACATTCAAGGCTGAAGTTGACACCCTTTTTATTACATTAATTAGGGATTTAATTGTATTTTTTTATTTTACTGAGCAGTTTTATACTCGGCTATTATCTGGAGCACATTATAAAATCTAGCAATTAATAGCGGAGTGTGGACTTTTTAGACTTTTTAAAAAAAAAATTTATTCTATAAGTGCAGAAAGAGATCCATAATTCTTAGAAAATGACAAAATGTAACAAACATACACGACAAGTTTGTACAAAAGTAAAATTTCTGCATAAATTCAGCACTTTTATATAAAATGCAATGATCAGGATTCACGCCTTAATCAGAGCAGGATGTCTCTCTGTTAATCTGATCAGTGCAATATGATGCCATGCAGTTCTATATTAATTTATAAGAGCAAAAAAATGAATTATTGCATGTTTCAAGGAGGGACTTATATTGTACATACAGGTACTATGAGCACCCTGTTAATTTTACTACAACCACTATTACCATTTCTGCTTTTAGAAGTGGTTATGGTGCAAGCATACGTGCAACATTTCAGCTTGAAGCAGTTTCTATACAGAAAATCAGTAAATGTGAGCTGCAGAGTAGTCACACGTGGCCGTATCCCAGACTAACAATGTGATTTCTGTTATTGAAAAATTCCCTTCGTCGGCACGCACTGGGCACTCGAGGTAGACATAATGAGCTTCCTGACTGGTAGGCAGTGCTGTGAGCCCCCTGGAAGAAGAACATGTTGCAAATAATACATTTTCTCCTCCCTCCAAGAACCGTGTAAATCCTCCCTTATACCCAGACTTAGTACTCCCGCCACCTAATATTATATTTCATCCCTTGTCTGCTCTCTTCATCACCATTGGTGCAGCCCCCCCTCTGTCCCCTCCTTAGCGTCTGTAGAATCAGGAGATGGGTGGGTTTTAGCGGTAAGATAAGCGGTCACTCAGCTTGTGATTGTACGTACCATGCCAACGCACTGTGTACCATTAACTACTTATATTGGATGTTGGATTTAGTGAGTCTCGATCGGGAATAGCTACAGGTGGGTCAATGCGCAGGCACCCAAGGCCAAAGAGTGCTTATCTATGAGAATGATGTGATCGGGGATAAGCCATTCAGCCATTAACAACACAAGCTGGAAAGAGAATTGGGGTAACTTGTAATGACAAACGAATAAATATATTATTCCATTTATTCGAAACATAGGATACGTAGCTAGCGGGTAAATGAAGGATGAAATACACATTCATCTATAGATTGCCGTTCAGGGACTTTCATTTTCTTCTTTCATTTCTTTTCTCGGGAAACTTGTGTGTGTGTGTGTGTGTGTGTGTGTGTGTGTATATATATATATATATATATAAAAATACATAAAATTTCTAAGTGCTGTCTTCCTGCTCATGGTCACAGCAACTACAGCATGTGCTCTAGTTGCTGTGATTGTTCCTCTAACAAGCACACCTCAAACTGACAATGAACACAGCGCAATGACGTAAAGGGAAGATCCACCATGAAGAAGGACCAATCGTATTGAGGAGGAGAGGAAGCTGGAAGATAAGACCTCACCATGGGCCTCATGAGACAGCCATTGTCAGCAGAGTGCATGCTGGAAACTTCATGAGACAGCCAGGGTCAGCAGAGTGCATTCTGGGACTTCATGAGACAGCCAGGGTCAGCAGAGTACATTCTGGTTACTTCATGAGACAGCCAGGGTCAGCAGAGTGCATTCTGGTTACTTCATGAGACAGCCAGGGTCAGCAGAGTGCATTCTGGTTACTTCATGAGACAGCCAGGGTCAGCAGAGTGCATTCTGGTTACTTCATGAGACAGCCAGGGTCAGGAGAGTGCATTCTGGTTACTTCATGAGACAGCCAGGGTCAGCAGAGTACATTCTGGTTACTTCATGAGACAGCCAGGGTCAGCAGAGCGCATTCTGGTTACTTCATGAGACAGCCAGGGTCAGCAGAGTGCATTCTGGTTACTTCACGAGACAGCCAGGGTCAGCAGAGCGCATTCTGGTTACTTCATGAGACAGCCAGGGTCAGCAGAGTGCATTCTGGGACTTCATGAGACAGCCAGGGTCAGCAGAGTGCATTCTGGGACTTCTTAGACAGCCAGGGTCAGCAGAGTGCATTCTGGGACTTCATGAGACAGCCAGGGTCAGCAGAGTGCATTCTGGTTACTTCATGAGACAGCCAGGGTCAGCAGAGTACATTCTGGGACTTCATGAGACAGCCAGGGTCAGCAGAGCGCATTCTGGTTACTTCATGAGACAGCCAGGGTCAGCAGAGTGCATTCTTTGACTTCATGAGACAGCCAATGTCAGCAGAGTGCATTCCGGTTACTTCATGAGACAGTCAGGGTCAGCAGAGTGCATTCTTTGACTTCATGAGACAGCCAGGGTCAGCAGAGCGCATTCTGGTTACTTCATGAGACAGCCAGGGTCAGCAGAGTGCATTCTGGTTACTTCACGAGACAGCCAGGGTCAGCAGAGCGCATTCTGGTTACTTCATGAGACAGCCAGGGTCAGCAGAGTGCATTCTTTGACTTCATGAGACAGCCAGGGTCAGCAGAGTGCATTCTGGTTACTTCATGAGACAGCCAGGGTCAGCAGAGCGCATTCTGGTTACTTCATGAGACAGCCAGGGTCAGCAGAGTGCATTCTGGTTACTTCATGAGACAGCCAGGGTCAGGAGAGTGCATTCTGGTTACTTCATGATACAGCCAGGGTCAGCAGAGTACATTCTGGTTACTTCATGAGACAGCCAGGGTCAGCAGAGTGCATTCTGGGACTTCATGAGACAACCAGGGTCAGCAGAGTACATTCTGGGACTTCATGAGACAACCAGGGTCAGCAGAGTGCATTCTGGTTACTTCATGAGACAGCCAGGGTCAGCAGAGTACATTCTGGTTACTTCATGAGACAGCCAGGGTCAGCAGAGCGCATTCTGGTTACTTCATGAGACAGCCAGGGTCAGCAGAGTAGATTCTGGTTACTTCACGAGACAGCCAGGGTCAGCAGAGCGCATTCTGGTTACTTCATGAGACAGCCAGGGTCAGCAGAGCGCATTCTGGTTACTTCATGAGACAGCCAGGGTCAGCCGAGCGCATTCTGGTTACTTCATGAGACAGCCAGGGTCAGCAAAGCGCATTCTGGTTACTTCATGAGACAGCCAGGGTCAGCAGAGCGCATTCTGGTTACTTCATGAGACAGCCAGGGTCAGCAGAGTGCATTCTTTGACTTCATGAGACAGCCAATGTCAGCAGAGTGCATTCCGGTTACTTCATGAGACAGTCAGGGTCAGCAGAGTGCATTCTTTGACTTCATGAGACAGCCAGGGTCAGCAGAGCGCATTCTGGTTACTTCATGAGACAGCCAGGGTCAGCAGAGTGCATTCTGGTTACTTCACGAGACAGCCAGGGTCAGCAGAGCGCATTCTGGTTACTTCATGAGACAGCCAGGGTCAGCAGAGTGCATTCTTTGACTTCATGAGACAGCCAGGGTCAGCAGAGTGCATTCTGGTTACTTCATGAGACAGCCAGGGTCAGCAGAGCGCATTCTGGTTACTTCATGAGACAGCCAGGGTCAGCAGAGTGCATTCTGGTTACTTCATGAGACAGCCAGGGTCAGGAGAGTGCATTCTGGTTACTTCATGATACAGCCAGGGTCAGCAGAGTACATTCTGGTTACTTCATGAGACAGCCAGGGTCAGCAGAGTGCATTCTGGGACTTCATGAGACAACCAGGGTCAGCAGAGTACATTCTGGGACTTCATGAGACAACCAGGGTCAGCAGAGTGCATTCTGGTTACTTCATGAGACAGCCAGGGTCAGCAGAGTACATTCTGGTTACTTCATGAGACAGCCAGGGTCAGCAGAAGCATTCTGGTTACTTCATAAGAGACAGCCAGGGTCAGCAGGCGCATTCTGGTTACTTCATGTAGAGACAGCCAAGTCAGCAGAAGCTGTTCTGGTTACTTCATGAAGACAGCCAGAGGTCAGCAGAAGCGCATTAAGTTACTTCATGAGACAGCCAGAGGTCAGCCCGGCTGTCTGTAAGTTTACTTCATGAACAGCCAGGGTCAGCAAGCAAAGGCGCATTCTGGATTTACTTCATGAGACAGCCAGGGTCAGCAGAGTGCATTCTGGTTACTTCATGGGAGCAACCAGGGTCAGCAGAAGCATTCTGAGATTTACTTCATGAGACAGCCAGGGTCAGCAGAGTGCATTCTTTGACTTCATGAGACTAGCCAATGTCAGCAGAGTGCATTCTGGTTACTTCGCGCCAGAACCAGCCAGGGTCAGCAGAGTGCATTCTTTGACTTCATGAGACAACCAGGGTGGCAGAGGCGCATTCTGGTTACTTCAGCAAGAGACAGCCAGGTCAGCAGAGTGCATTCTGGTTACTTCGCGAGAGACAGCCAGGGTCAGCAGAGCGCATTCTGGTTACTTCATGAGACAGCCAGGGTCAGCAGAGTGCATTCTTTGACTTCATGAGACAGCCAGGGTCAGCAGAGTGCATTCCGGTTACTTCATGAGACAGCCAGGGTCAGCAGAGTGCATTCTGGTTACTTCATGAGACAGCCAGGGTCAGCAGAGCGCATTCTCGTTACTTCATGAGATAGCCAGGGTCAGCAGAGCGCATTCTGGTTACTTCATGAGACAGCCAGGGTCAGCAGAGTGCATTCTGGTTACTTCATGAGACAGCCAGGGTCAGCAGAGTGCATGCTGGGACTTCATGAGACAGCCAGGGTCAGCAGAGTGCATTCTGGGACTTCATGAGACAGCCAGGGTCAGCAGAGTGCATTCTGGGACTTCATGAGACAGCCAGGGTCAGCAGAGCGCATTCTGGTTACTTCATGAGACAGCCAGGGTCAGCAGAGTGCATTCCGGTTACTTCAGAATGTACTCTGCTGACCCTGGCTGTCTCATGAAGTAACCAGAATGTACTCTGCTGACCCTGGCTGTCTCATGGTTACTTCATGAGACAGCCAGGGTCAGAAGAGTACATTCTGGGACTTCATGAGACAGCCAGGGTCAGCAGAGTGCATTCTGGTTACTTCATGAGACAGCCAGAGTCAGCAGAGTGCATTCCGGTTACTTCAGAATGTACTCTGCTGACCCTGGCTGTCTCATGAAGTAACCAGAATGTACTCTGCTGACCCTGGCTGTCTCATGGTTACTTCATGAGACAGCCAGGGTCAGAAGAGTACATTCTGGGACTTCATGAGACAGCCAGGGTCAGCAGAGTGCATTCTGGTTACTTCATGAGACAGCCAGGGTCAGCAGAGTACATTCTGGTTACTTCATGAGACAGCCAGGTCAGAGTGCACTGGTTACTCATGAGACAGCCAGGTCAGCAGAGTGGTTACTTCATGAGACAGCCAGGGTCAGCAGAGCGCATTCTGGTTACTTCATGAGACAGCCAGGGTCAGCAGAGTAGATTCTGGTTACTTCATGAGACAGCCAGGGTCAGCAGAGCGCATTCTGGTTACTTCATGAGACAGCCAGGGTCAGCAGAGCGCATTCTGGTTACTTCATGAGACAGCCAGGGTCAGCAGAGCGCATTCTGGTTACTTCATGAGACAGCCAGGGTCAGCAGAGCGCATTCTGGTTACTTCATGAGACAGCCAGGGTCAGCAGAGTAGATTCTGGTTACTTCACGAGACAGCCAGGGTCAGCAGAGCGCATTCTGGTTACTTCATGAGACAGCCAGGGTCAGCACAGTGCATTCTGGTTACTTCATGAGACAGCCAGGGTCAGCAGAGTGCATTCTGGTTACTTCATGAGACAGCCAGGGTCAGCAGAGTGCATTCTGGTTACTTCATGAGACAGCCAGGGTCAGCAGAGCGCATTCTGGTTACTTCATGAGACAGCCAATGTCAGCAGAGTGCATTCCGGTTACTTCATGAGACAGCCAGGGTCAGCAGAGTGCATTCTTTGACTTCATGAGACAGCCAGGGTCAGCAAAGCGCATTCTGGTTACTTCATGAGACAGCCAGGGTCAGCAGAGTGCATTCTGGTTACTTCATGAGACAGCCAGGGTCAGCAGAGCGCATTCTGGTTACTTCATGAGACAGCCAGGGTCAGCAGAGTGCATTCTGGGACTTCATGAGACAGCCAGGGTCAGCAGAGTGCATTCTGGGACTTCTTAGACAGCCAGGGTCAGCAGAGTGCATTCTGGGACTTCATGAGACAGCCAGGGTCAGCAGAGTGCATTCTGGTTACTTCATGAGACAGCCAGGGTCAGCAGAGTACATTCTGGGACTTCATGAGACAGCCAGGGTCAGCAGAGCGCATTCTGGTTACTTCATGAGACAGCCAGGGTCAGCAGAGTGCATTCTTTGACTTCATGAGACAGCCAATGTCAGCAGAGTGCATTCCGGTTACTTCATGAGACAGCCAGGGTCAGCAGAGTGCATTCCGGTTACTTCATGAGACAGCCAGGGTCAGCAGAGCGCATTCTGGTTACTTCATGAGACAGCCAGGGTCAGCAGAGTGCATTCTTTGACTTCATGAGACAGCCAGGGTCAGCAGAGTGCATTCCGGTTACTTCATGAGACAGCCAGGGTCAGCAGAGTGCATTCTGGTTACTTCATGA